CTCAGCTTTGGACGCTTCTCAGAACTTTGGCGGTCCCTGGACGGGTTGAGCTCTGCCTCACATTAGGAATGGCCTTTCATTGAGATGATTCACGTTTGAGGGAAATTGGAAATGGCTGGGCTCACAGTCTTTGTCCTGGAGAAACTTTCAACTTAGTTTTAAGTACTTTATTTGGGGGATGACTCTGTGATCTTACCCGCATTGTTTACAGGGGAGCACGAACTACATAGGCCCCAAATTATGGCCAAAGAGAATTGTTTCCTGGGAGAACAAACTGACTTTTAGGTATATCTGTAGGGTGGAGTTTTTAAAATTTAAGGATTATGTTTAGGAAGATTATTTAACGACCTGGGGAAAATCCCATTATATTTTTAAATGGAAAACTCAGATTGCAAAATCACATAGAAATTCTGATCTCAACTGTGAAAAATATACAAAGGCTTTTTAAAAATTGAAAGAGATGCGCCAAAACATGTATAATAGCTATGATGATAGAATTATGGGGTTTTGTTTGTAATTTTCAGATTTCTCAGATGTTCTACAATGGGCATGTAAGTATTTTATAACCCAGGAAAAGTTATCTTAAAACTCATTGCTTTTTGCATTAGAATTTTAAAAGAACTTTTTAATATTAGAATAATAGCTCTAAAATTAACTAAAAATTAGTAGTATTCTCTTAGGTTTTTTTAGGAGCTAGTGCTATGACTTTCAAGCCAAGATTTTTGGGATAAGTCAGTGGGATTCCTAAGTGTCGACAGTGGAACCATTTATTACAGATAAAAGGAATAACTGCTACTTTTTAGGGGTGGGCAGAACACTTCTGAACTTTTATGATTCAGTTCAGTGAAGGACCTTTTCTCCTCACTTCAGTGGAACCATTTATTACAGATAAAAGGAATAACTGCTACTTTTTAGGGGTGGGCAGAACATTTCTGAACTTTTATGATTCAGTTCAGTGAAGGACCTTTTCTCCTCACTTCCCCCCCCCCAAAAAAAAAGAGTCCCCCCTTGCTTAGCAAGCTAAGGTTATCTCTCAGAGCACTTACTCCACTGGGTGATTGTATATATTTATCTGTGTTCATTACTGTAATTGTTTTTGTCTGTCTTTGCTATCAGAGGTAAACCCCACTAGGGCAGGGATCATGCCTGTATTTATTCCTTTTGATGACCCAGATCTAGTACAATGCCTGGTATACAGTGATTTCTCAAGTATTTGTTGAATGAATGTGTCTAATTAGTTTTTATACCATCATACACACACCCCCGCAAAGAAATGAACTATATTCACCAGCTCTCTAGAAACTCATTATATCTCTTCCCAATTGCTAATGCTTTTTCTCCCCAAATCAACTTCAATCCTGACTTTTTACAGTAATGTTTACGTTTGTTTCAACTTTGTGTGAATGGAATCTTATAGTATGTATTCTTTTGCTTAAATTTATGTTTGTGAAATTCATCCATGTTTTTGCATGTAGCCATTTTGTTGCATAGCACACTGTAGGGAGCAAATTCATTTTTCTCCATATAAATATTCACTTGTTCCAGCAAAATTTATTGAAAAGTCTCTCCTTTACTCACTGCTTTGTAGTGCTACTTCTGTCATGGAGCAAGTGTTCATATATACATGGGTCTGTTTATGGGGACTCTGTTTTTTTACATTGGCCTATTTGTCTATCTTTGTGCCAATACCACACTGTCTTAAATAAAATAGCTTTATTATGTTTTCACATTCAGTAGTAGGTGTCCTCTCAACTTGAACAAATTCTTGATTGTTCTGTACCTTTTCCATGTCCATATAAACTTGAGAATCAGCTTGTCAGTTTCCACATACTGGGATTTTGATTGGGATTGTGTTGCATCTGTAGGTCATTTTAGAACGACTTGACAGCCTTACAGTATTGAGTCTTCCAATTCATAATCATAGATATTTAGGTCTTCTTTAATTTCTCTCCACAGGATTTTTTAGTTTTCTGCCCAGAGGTCTTACACATATTTTATTAGATTGATTTCCAAGTGTTTGGTTTTTTTATGCTATTGTAAATTGAACCTTTGTAAACATTTATTTTTCTATTCATTGTTATTATATTGTAGTAAAATTAATTTTATGTATTAACAATGTATATACCAACCTTGTTAAACTTACTTATTAATCTAATAATTTGTGACTTATTTAGAATTTTCTCCATATACAATTATATCATTCATGCATGAATAATAACATTTCTTCCTTTCTAATCTTTATGCCTTTTATTTCTTTTTCTTGCCTTATTGCACTGGCTAGGACCTGCAGTACAAAAGGAAGTGGCAACAGTGGGAGTCCTTGTGTGGGGACAAATTGTCCCCACAAAAGATATATTGAAGTTCTAAACCCCAGTATTTGTGAATGTGACCTTATTTGGAAATGAGTCTTTGCAGATATAATCAAGTTAAAGTATGGTTATACTGAAGTAGGAGTGTGCCCTACTCTAAAATGACTGTGTCCTTATAAAAAGAGGAGAAGAGACCAAAACACACAGAGGAGAACTCCACATGAAGATGGAGGCAGGGACAGCCAAAGGATGCCAACCATTGCTGGCAACCACCAGAAACTAGAAAGAGGCAAGGAAGGATTCTCCTCTAGAGCCATCAAGGAGATCATGGAGCTACCAATACCCTGATTTTCAAACTGCTAGCCTCCAGAACTGTGAGACAATAAATATCTGCTGTTGTATTAAGTGACTCAGTTTGTGGTATTTTGTTATGGCAGCCCCAGGAAACACGTATGACATTTGCTGAAGATTCTTTTCCCCAGACCCCTCACATACCAGGCTGGGTCACCAGACCCCTCACATGCAGGTCTATAAGCTAGGTAACCGGCAAAAAGGTCCTTGGAAGCTGTAGGTTGGAGAGCATGGCCGCGCGTGTCTGAAGCAGGAGGCAGCAGACGCCAGCCAAGTGAGGGCCACCCATGCGCACTAACTCCACCCACACAAAACTTATTTACAAAGAATGTTCGTATAACTTCGTATAATGTATGCTATACGAAGTTATTCTTTCACCTTTTTCCCCCCCAGGATAATTAGTATGTTCAACATTACACAATGTAATCATTTTTGTGGCCCTTTAGTGATTTCTCACTAACCCTCTACCCCATCCCCCTTTCCCATATCCAGTAGCCTCAGCTGAAAATTTGTTTGCTAGTTCTAGTTTACTAAGAGTTTTTATAATGAATTTGATTTGAATTTTATCAACATCCTCTATTAAAATCAACTGAAATAATTATATGATTTTTCATTATTCAGTTAATGTGATGAATTACCTTAGTTTTCAAATCTTAACCCAAGTTTGCTTTCTGGAATATGTCCAACATGTATTGGCCTTTTTATATATTACTAGATGTGGTTTGCTAATATGTTTTTTTAGCAAACTTACCAAAAACCAAAAAAAAAAAAAAGGGGGGGGGCATTTCTCCTGAAGTTCAGTAAAAAAACATAGATAAAGTGTGTCCCTGGCTTTCCAGTTTAGACCAAGTTGATCACCCACATTCCATTTTGATGTTAGTGGATAAATTTGCTAATCTTGTTTTCAGTATACTTGCATTTAAATTCATGAATTGACACAAGCATGAAATTTTTTTCTTTCCTGGAATTACCTGTTAGATTTTATATTGGGGTTATTTTAGCCCCTTAACATTAGTTGGCAAATGGTAGCTGATTTTCCTGTGGTCTTAAAGGGTTTGTGTAAGATTACCATTTCTTCCTTGAATGTTTGTTAGAAGCCATCTGGGCCTGGATTTTATTTTTTATGTATTTTTTATTATTTTTAGCATTTTTATTAATACAAATCATGATTTTTCTTTATGTCCTGTACCCAACCTATCCCTCCTCAAAACCGCTCACTCCCTCCCCACCATCTCTGGTAACCTTAAGTTTGTTCTTGATGGTTCCATAAGTCATTTCACTATTGCCCTGTGAGTTGTCAAAATTTTTTTGCTATTCTGATGAACATTCTTTTTGTTTTTTGAATTTTTAAATTTTTAATTTTTTTTATTGAATCATAATTGATTATACATATTTTTGGGATTCAATGTTGACATATGTTGATCAAATCAATATTACTAGTATGTATATTGTTACAAATTGTACTTATTCTTTACGCCCTTTGTCCAATCTCTCCTATCCCCCTCTCCCTCCTCCTCCCCCTTCTAATTACCCTAGATTTCTTCTTTCCTTCTGAAAGAGTAATGGTTACTCTGTTGATTTGCTGCCTAGATGATCTGTCCAATACTGAGAGGTGTGTTCAGGTCCCCCAATATTATCAGAGCAGATGCTTCTTCTGTCACTCTGGAATGGGCTTTGTGGAGAGAGACATCCTATTCTTTTCTTTGGTCCCTGCTGGTGACTCTCCTTGTGTCAATGCACTCCAGTGGCTGGCGGCCCATCTGCATGGTGGTTGTGACGACTAGCCACTTTCGTGGCAGCCGTGGTTACTGTGGTGGTTGTGGTGGGCCACCCACATGGAGGTGATGTTTTTGGCATGCTCATTGGCACTTGGTCGTGGGTGGGTGATCCTGTCCCTGTCTCTATGCCCTGGGTCCCCAGGAGGGCCCTGAGGTGCTGGCAGTATGCCTGGTTATGGATGGGGGGTCTGGATTTTCTTTTATTGGATTTTATTGTAGAGTTCTAAATTATATATTTAATTTCTTAAATAATTAAAAGATTATTTAAATTTTCTATTCTGTTAATTTTTACATGTAGTATTTTTCAAGGAATATATTTCATTTACATTTTAAAATTTATTTATAGAAAGTTGTTTAAAATATCTTTTTATGATTTCATAAGTCTTTAGGACATATATATATATGTCTTTCTCTCTCTCTCTCTCTCTCTATATATATATATATGTCTTCTTTTTCATTCCTGACATTGGTTATTTGTTTCTTTTCTCATTTTCCTTGAAGAGCTCCACCGAGGAAGCTGGGGAACACAATATATTTTATTTTATTAATTTATGTTCTTAACTTTATTATTTCCTTCTTCTTACTTTCTTTGAGTTTAATTTACTATTACTCTTCTATCTTCCTGAGATAGACTGAAAAAATTCATCAAGTTTTTTAGCCTTTCTTTTTTTATAATACACTATATGCAATTAAAATGATAAAGTTCCCCTTAATAAACATAGCTTTAGCCACTTCCCATAAGTTTGGATATGTAGTATCTTCAGTATACCTCAGTTGAAACATTTTCTAATTTACATTTTTTTGACCCATGGAAGTATAGTACTTTATTTTTAAAATGACTTTTAAAAAATATTTTTTGTTAGTGGTTCCTAGCTTAGTTGTATTGTGGTCAGAAACCATACTCTGTATTATTTCACTAAAATATGTAGATATTTGCCTTATCACATAGGAACTGAATTTTTGAAATTCTGCTCTTGTTGGGTTCAGTATTTTACCTGTTGTTCATTAGGTCACGTTTGTCAGCCCTGCGTTCATATCTCTATCCTCACTGACTTTTCATCAGCTTATGAAGATGCCCTCAAGGAGTTTCAAAGGGAGGATGTATACATGAAAAGGGTTTAAAACTATGTAAAGGAGTATTGTTACATGCTAAGTGAATGGCTCAGAGAACATGGGGCTGGAGATTTCAGCCCATGGAGAAAGATGGCAGAAGGGAAATCTAACCTTCATTGTGTACCTACTATGTACAAGGTACTTTGTATGCAGTATACCTTTTAACCCTGAGAGGTGGGTCTTGTTAAAAACTAATGAAACTGAGGAATTGAAGTTCATAAGAAACTTTCATATGCTTGCTTCTATGATGCTCAAGTGTGATGGAGATTTCACAAATATCTAACTTAATCAAAGTCAGTGGTCAAAAATGGTAAATTTAGGGAACATGGAAGCACAGTTGACTTCAAGCATGACAACTGGGAAGTGATGAGAAGTGGAGAGCAGGTAAATATGGTTCTTGCAACTTAAAGTGAAGTAGGAGATTGATTAAACATTGATTATATTCCAAAAATTAAGGAAAACTTATTTATGTGAGGGAACTATAAGCTAATGCTATGAAACCCTGATAATTCCTACTTCATGCTTCATTGATCTGAATGCTGGATGTGTCTTCCTTGACAGTTCAGGCAACCCTGTTTTTAATTCTTTGGAGACAATCTGTTATTAAATTGACCTGTGTATTTATGTTCTGTCCTATTCACTGTTATTTACTATTCACCAAGGCTGCCAACTTTTAAACAGTCTTGGTATAAATGTTTGTTCCTAAACCTTTGCTGATAGATGTGTTTTATGTAACAGTTATGGAGTCCATTAACATGAAGTACTAAAACACAAAAAGAAACTAAAGAGATTTATAAGCATATGAAATGCCCTCACCAGAGACAGTTGAAATAATAAATCCAAAGTCCAAGGAACATTTGTGAAGGTACTGTGAGCATATTTATCTACTTTAAAACATGTTCTATGGGACTGAATTATACTATATATTATGTTTAACTTAAAAGGTAAAATACAAATTGACTCTCATTTATTGGTAATGACTTATTGTGTTTGCAAAAACTCTACTATTTCAGAGGAAGAGAGAAATTCCACTTTAAACACTTCTATGTCGTTTGCTGTTAAGATAAATTGCCTGAATGATTTTTCTCTAAAAGCTGGAAATGTAGGAAAGCCCAAATTATTAGTACATTTAAGTGACATTAAAATACTTCCAGCATTATTGTTTTGTAAAAATACCCAATTCTAAACCCAATAGCAATTTCTATTGAAAAATTTCTCCTGAAATTTTTTCTGGACTGCAACTTGAGATATAATTAGTATCCTCAGAAACAAACATCCCCACACACACACCCCCCAAAAAGTTGGCAAAGTAAAATGGTGGCATCTATCTCCTCGTTAAAACATCAGATTGACAAAGTCCATGTACTCCTCTGTTTCAAAAAGTTCTAGCTCTTTTAAACATTGACATTCTTATCATTTTGTGTGTTCAATGCTGGCCACTGGCTAAGAACGTCTGTGTGGATTTCTCCTTGAATATCTTCCATCAACTGATAAGCCAGTTGCTCCTAGGATTTCTGGTCAAGAGCACTACTCAAGAAGGAAAGCTGATAGCACATATTTGAAATTGTTAATGAAAATGTTCCTTCTCTTCTTTTTGTTTGCTTGTTTGCTTTTTCTTATTTGGAGGTTGGTCTAAAGGCTGCTGAGCTTTCAGGTTGAGATGGCCTGGGTATTAGTGGGGTGGTTTAATGCGCTTTCCTTGGAGAAAGAAGACACTTGTAAATCTAGCCTGTATTTCCCTGTCATAAGGCTAATCCGTCGCCATAAAATGAGTTAGGTATAAGATAAGCTGCAAGCCACTGTTTTCATATCAATGTATACAAACAAACTTAAATGTTATTTTAGGAGTGAAAACAAAATTCTTAATTGTTCGTTAAACATGTAGCTCTTGGTATAGAACTATTATAACAAATATTTTTGAGCAAATTCATTTTTCCTGTATATATATAGGGGTGTGTGTGTGTGTGTGTGTGTGTGTGTGTGTGTGTGTGTGTGTGTTTAAAGAGTATTAAGATTTAGGAAAATAAAATGAAAAAAACATTCAAAGTCGTAATCCTCCAAAGTAAATACTATTAATGTTTTGGTGTTTTTCCTTCCAATCTTCCACTTATTCTGCTCATCCAATTTTGTATTTTGTTTTTTTAATGAATCCAGTTAGTATAA